GTGGCAAAATATGGATCAGACGATGGTTGATCACTTGATCAAATCCATGAAAAATCGAATACAAGCACTGTAACTAGCAAATGGAGGACCTACTCCATACTAGTTCCAAATACTGTTTATTTATGTTGAGTTGAGATTACGTAATTAAATTTTAAAATTGGATGTAGTTTATTTCTCCTGGCTAAAAACTTTTCTTAGGCCACTGTATAATTTGTGTAAAATTAAATAAAAGTTTCATTTAGTAATGTGTTCTGTTAATGAGGAAAGGGAAGTTGAATGTATGAGAGAAATAAAAGGAGGGAAAATGACGAAAGGTGTGAGGAGTGATAATGTTGTAGGGGACCGTGTCGGTGAAGAATATGTAAAACACACGTGGGTAGAATTTCCTGCTAGCCGGTCCAACTACATGAGAAAGTTGGACTTTAATTAAGTCCAAAGAAGTCAAGGAAAAACAAACACAAGACCGATAAATATATGTAAACAAATATATATTAAGAAATGGACAAAGTCCGACAATTTATTTATTATAGACATTTTTATGTTTAACGTTCTTTTTTATAGATACAAGTATTTAAGTAAATGCTCTGTTTATAATAAACAGTATTAAATAACATTTACCGGCCTGAATGTCCAAGAAATTTTCAGAGAAAATATTCGTCCTTTGACAGGATTCGAACCTCATTTACGCTGACGTGTCTTTATTATAAACAGAGCATTTACTTAAAGACTTGTATCTATAAAAAGAACGTTAAACATAAAAATGTCTTTAATAAATAAACAAATATATGTATTAATAACAAGAAAGGTTACAAGTTACATGGACAGTTACATAGACAGAGTGCGTGTGGTAAATATTATGTGTGTGTGTCGTGTTGTGGTGAGTGTTCGTACGTACGTGTATTGTTCTTAGCGTGTTCCCAGAATTTGGGAAACGCTGTATCTGTGAGAGCTCACATCTGCGAGGTGGTATAAGGCCGAAGCCTGAGGAAAAAGATTTACCTCAAGGTGGCGGTTCAAAGGCCTGAGGGAAAAAGAGGTCGAGGCGAAGGGTCAGCGAGTATATATAGCCAGGGGAGAAAGACCCCTGTTGAAGGGTAAGGAGCTAAGGAGGAGCTAACTCCGACAATTTAAACTGATCCTCTCAATCCCAATATATGTATAATAATGGCATACTGATTAATGGTAAGATTGTGGACTCTGCACATCCCTCACACGAGAAATGATGCTCGTGCCCTAGCTGTTGTAAATTTCAAAATCAGTTTGGTCTTACGACGACATCTCCTGCCATTTCATCAAGGAATACTTTAAAAAAAAAAAAAAAAAAAAGAAAAAAAGAGAGAGCTTTTATCTGGGGCTCATGGCCAAATCACGTTAAAACATCGGTTCCCGTACGATCACCGAAGTTTAATAACGTTGAACCAGGTCAGTACCTATAACTTGGTAATACTAAGTGCTGTAAGCTTGGATTTGCCGGTGGTATAATGTATAATGGTTCGGAATTATTAATTGGAGAACCGAGTTTCAATTCCAGTTGGGTTCGTTATATTCACTTACGCGCAAATACTCTTGGGAAAGGTATGTATCCATCTCCTCTCCCCCATATATGGGTTAATTAATAAGATTTGTATCATTAACCATTATTATCTAAAAAAAAAAATCTTACAATCTAAAAATATTTTCTGGCTTTGAATAGCCTGCAAGGGGTTGATAAGCCGTAGAAAATGAATTAATCAAAAATCAAAACCAGTTTCACTGTATACGTTGAGTGTAGAAACCTCTGAAAGAAAATAAGAGTGATGTTGGTAACATAACAAAAATAAGTAGACACACTCGTTTCCAATAGATCTGCTTTGCGATCAACGTCTTCAGAGGAACCGCTACCAATCACCTACTGACTTTTACTGAAACGCTAGCACCCAAGAACGCCAGTTGAAGGTTTAACTGACTCCTCCTTTCTATGTATTTAGGTATTTACTCTGTTTACCCACTAAGACGAGTTGTGACATAAAGTTTATTTTTAAGGTCGGGACTCGTGCGCGTACACCCGGATTAGGAACAAAAATTGCCCACGGCCCCCTCAACCGTCGGTTGCACTGGCTTCGGTGCGAGCACCGATCCCTCTCTCTGATGCAATGAGAGGGCGCGGCCTCGGGTAGCTTTTGCCCAGGGCTGGGCACCTCGCAGTATAATTTTCCTCAGTTGCGACTCTGTCCTTTGATGGAGTCGTCCCTGGGTGCACTCTGCTCAAAGACAGTGACGCAACTAATAAAAGGTTTACCGCTGGTGGCCCGCTGTCGGGCCGCCGGCGGGATCGTCTCGGCAATGTTACCACCGACGGACCGCTAGCGGCCTGCGTGAAGCGAGGCTCCGCACATATCTTCCATTTTTACTCACACACTCAAAGAAAAAAACGAGCAATATATTCCAGAATTTCCACCCTATAGCACTTGCTCCCGTCTGAAGAAACAAAATAAAACCTGGAGCCGATTTGAGCCTAAAAACTTGGCATAAAAGCTCATCAAAGAGGCATTTGACAGTTGGCCCGGGTTCACAGACTTCGTAGGAAAGCGACCTCCCGTCTCCAAATGACATCAGACACCAGCAAGCTCGCTAAAGACCATCGCCCCAGTAAGTCACAACTCATCCTCTCTTTCATTACATGCGATTCACCGGTCGCATTCTACAATACCACTTATCTTCTTTTTTTAAACGAGAGACATCTACACTAATATGGTACTCGAACATTTGGCCGACGGACATTTGACCTACGGACATTTAACCGAATGGATATTTAACCGAGAATGTTGTGGCGTACTTATATGTATGTCACGCTCTTTATCGTAATGTGCTACATATATTTATGTATTTTTACTGTATTAATTTATGATTTTTTGTTTTTTTGCATGATTTTTAAAATCTATTCTGTATATATTATATTTTACTTCAAACATTACTGTAAGATGATAAGTATTTTGAGAAAAGGCACATTTTACTACAGTAAAAATCTTAAGCTTTTCCGATATGAAAGATCTTTCAATTTTGCTTTTAATGATCATTATCTTAAAGGGATGAACTAGATTTTATCTTATTGTTAAATATGAATTTAGATAATTAGGTGCTACTTTTTACCCACATACACTGAAATATTTTTAAAAATACTAATTTCAGTAAACAAATATTGAAATACAAAAAAAACTTTTAAATTCAAATTTAGATTTAATAATTTAATCAGTTGAAATTCGGTGGTAATTATTATTCCTATTCTACCTTATAATACTGCTAATTAAAATACTTAAATTATTGCTTGTTACTATTTTACTTGTACTTTTTCAGTGAAATGTCCGTCGGCCAAATGTCTCTTGGCCAAATGTCCGTCGTGCAAATGTCTCCCGGCCAAATGTCTCTTGGCCAAATGTCCGTCGGCCAAATGTCCGTCAGCAAAATGTCTCTCGGCGAAATTTCCATTAGCCAAATGTCCATCGTGCAAATGTCCATCGTGCAAATGTCTCTCGGTCAAATGTCCGTCAGCAAAATGTCTCTCGGCCAAATGTCCATCGTGCAAATGTCTCTCGGCCAAATGTCTCTTGGCCAAATGTCCGTCGGCCAAATGTCCATCGTGCAAATGTCTCTCAGCCAAATGTCTCTTGGCCAAATGTCCGTCGGCCAAATGTCCGTCAGCAAAATGTCTCTCGGCCAAATGTCCATTAGCCAAATGTCCATCGTGCAAATGTCCATCGTGCAAATGTCTCTCGGCCAAATGTCCGTCGGCCAAATGTCTCTCGGCCAAATGTCCATCGTGCAAATGTCTCTCGGCCAAATGTCCGTCAGCAAAATGTCTCTCGGCCAAATGTCCATCGTGCAAATGTCTCTCAGCCAAATGTCTCTTGGCCAAATGTCCGTCGGCCAAATGTCCGTCAGCAAAATGTCTATCAGCCAAATGTCCATCGTGCAAATGTCCATCGTGCAAATGTCCCTCGGCCAAATGTCCGTCGGCCAAATGTCCGTCGGCCAAATGTCCGTCAGCCAAATGTCTCTTGGCTAAATGTCCGTCAGCCAAATGTCTGTTCAACCAAATGTCAGTTCGGCCAAATGTCCCTCGGCCAAATGTCTCTTAGCCAAATGCCCGTCGGCCAAATCTTCGTTCGGCCAAATGTCTCTTGGCCAAATGTCCGGCCACAACTAATTTATATTTTTTTATATTTTGTTGTATTTTATCTTAATTATTTATTTCTTTAAATTTTCGTCATTTCATTTTTTTTTCTGCCACCATACGCTTATCATAAAAGTAGCAATCATCCTGTTATAATTGTGTTCCGAATGAATGCTTTTTATTTATCTGAGCTTGATTCATTGATTTGTTTTCTACGGCTTATCAACCCTTTGCAGACTATTCAAAGCCAGAAAATATTCTTAGGTTGTAAGAATTGGGAGAGTGGGGGTAATAATGATTTAGTGATACAAGTCTTACTAATTAACCCATACCGAGAGGAGAAGAGTTAGATTCATATTGCGAAGCATGCTGTTATTTACTTAATTAGATTAGTATGACACAGAGAACTAAAAATCCCACGAGGATTTATTACTCGTTGAAACAAGCTTGATGTCGTGTTGAAAACTTGTTTGTTTTTGTTTAGCGGCTTATCAACACCTCTATGGGAAATTTAATACCGAAATCTAAATATTTTTACACAGTTCTATTTAATTCTATATTTTTTGAGTTGATAATGTTTTTAATGATACAAGTCTTACTAATTAACCCATAGCTGGAGGAAGAAGAGGTGGATTCGTATTTTTCCCGAGGTTATTTGTACGTAAGTGAATATAACGAACCCAACGGCAATTGGAATCCGGCTCTCCGATTAACACTTTCGATCCATTATCTGTTGTACCACACGCATATTTCCAAGCGGTCACTCATCTAGATACTGACTAGGCTCAGTGTTGCTTAACTTCAGTGCTTGTACGGGAACTGGTGCTTCAATGATACACACACAAAACATGCGCATCCGCTCACTCTCACACACACACACACTGAATCAGACACGTATGCTTCTACATCTACACGCACACATACTCATGCATTCACAAACACACACTCACTCACACACACGCGCGCACACACTGAAACACATACACACGTATTCGGCCATACATGAACGCATCCGTATGCACACAGTGATTTTTCAAGTGTAGCTTGTATGTGGCACAAGGCCGAAAGTAAAGGGCACCCAGTGAGAATTGAACTCACTACTCAGTCGTAATTGTTCTAGCGAGACAAACTTGCTAACCATTACACCACCTCGTGGTGCCCGAACGTATCCGTATGCATACATGCATACATTCACAGGCACACAGACTCACGCATATAAACGCGCATGCCTGCACGCACATACAAACACAAGCACGCTCGCACAGACTCAAAATAAACACGTATCCACACATATTCACAGTCAAACACACGTACGCACTGAAATAAATGAATTGAAGCTTAAATGTTGTCTGCCACTCCTTCATCAACTTATCGGCAAACTGCTTCTAGCAGTTTCCAACAAAGCAAGAGATTGTCACAAAATGCAACATATTTGCGTCCTCAAAATTATGTTTATGAAGACGCTCTCAAGTTTTATCAAAAAGTTAAGAAACGTCCAACAACAGTTGCTTCAACAGATTTTCAAAATCCATTGTACTCCTCTTCAAATGTCCAACAGATGTCAACAAAATGTAAGTCGGCACCTTGTCCACAACCGTCTGTGCCAGAGCCACAAGTCATGTCTCCCTCAACTCCATCCAGAAAATGCTACACTTTTAGACAGTCACGCAAGAAAATTCATAACAAAAAACCTCTAGAACTGATGCCAGCCGTTCGAAAAAAATGTCCAACACTTCATCTGACCAAGACCTTAATTCTTCTCCAAACCAGACCATAACTATTTCTTCCACTCAGAATCTCACATTGCAGGGTGATGAAGAAGATCTTCATTCTGATGATTCCAATTTTGATTTGCTTGATTCTCGCAACTTTGGAAAGTCCGAAGATGGCTTGGAAAGTAGCTCATCCGAAGATTTGGCTTTAGAATGGCTGTGGCCGGACCACCCCCCCCCCAAAAAAAAAGAAAGAAAGCATTGTAATATCCCAGCAACAGAAGGAAGATAACCCCTAGAGACACAAGAGTTAGGTCCTCTCCGGATATCCGGAATCTTAATCAGCAGCTTGGCAGCAAAAGGGGAATAGGAGGCCACCATGACTCGAGGAACAATCAACAACCATCCTAACATCCTATCATCGCATTAATCGATGCCTCGCAAGCATCGATAGCCTCTTGCGCAGAACATTACAGTCATTTTATACATTGCCGAAAGTGGTCAGTCATTCATTCGGTTTACAGTAGTCAAACGAAACAGTCGTTTATTTGGTTTGGGCTTCTCGACCAGGTCTGAAGTTAAATATATTCCCCGCTCGGCTGCTTACAAGTCCATGGCGCCGTTTCCCTTTGGGAATATATCTTCACAAGATATAGAAAGAATCTCCGGCTCTCAGTCCTCAATTTGGGAAAAATCCAAGACACGCCGTTTCCTGTTCTTGGCACATAGTAAATGAATTCGACCCGTTTGAATCTGGAGTCCTAAACATGGCTTCTCCAGAAACACAGAACTATATCAATATTATATGTAACATCATATCTTTTCATTCTTCTTTAACTCTGCTTGCTGTGTATAAAAATATAATACATGTGTATTATATTTTTCTCTTCGTGGGGCACGTGTAAATTTGTGTATGTCTTAGTGGTATAAAATTCATTCTTTTCCTTTCAGTAATTCCGTACCTTCCCTGAAATACGGTGTTACTACATGGATATAATAATGCCTAAAATAGAGGAAATACAAATGGTAGAATATACCTTTCTTTCATAGCTCTCTCCTGTTATACAAGTATAAAAATATAACCAATTATTTAAACAGGCTGACCTAAAATTCTTGCACAAAAATTAAACAACCTGAGTACTAGTCCAAATCCTAAGCTGGTTATTAAAAGATTATGTAACGCTTGAGTAGAAAACAGGTAATTGGTATGTATATTTCACTCCACTTTGATATAACAGATCACAGGGATTTCTCTTTTTTTTTGTAATATGAGACACTCGTAAGATACAAGGAAAAGGACAAAGATTATTTTGTTCTCTGTACCTTACTTCTGGCGTTCTACACAGAACATGAAATGTACTTAACACTACCACTTTGAATCAATCCAGTGAAGCGATGCAGCCTGAACGATGAGGTTTCCAGGAATTAGGACTATATACATCTTATTGCATCTAGCAGTGTTCAAACAACTGAACCCATTCTTCGTATACTTGCTATTGGTAACACAACGTTTCGGCCGATTCATTCTTCAATCATCGTCATGTTCATTCCATGAGAAAGAAGAAAACGTCTTTCTTTAAGGAAAATAAAATAACATAAAATAAGTAAAAATGTTAATGGAAAGATAGTCATTAATATTTGTCTATATTTCTGAGATGAAGTATTGTAACTATTTACACTATTTACATCGTTCGACTGTTGTCCTTTATTGCTATATTCACGACGTTTCCGCTATTGTACGCTCTTCTCTTCTTCAGGTGATATACATTGGAATTTTGACGCGAACCTGTTATTTAGTCCACGGCGTTAGATTGTTCTAACAAATATATAAGAAGGCCGGAGCTTACAATGTCCGAAACGTCGTAAATATGGCAATAAATACGAGGGCAACAGTCCTAACGATGTAAATAGTCATTAATATATTAACCAGGCCAGTCCATCTCCGCATCAAGAGATAGCCGAGTGATTCCCAATTTTATCCCAGTAACCATTTTACTAAGCAAGGCAAACCACATATTATTGATATACTTCTTAAACCATCTTATACATCTATTCGACACGCCAATATATGCCGCCTCCAATCTCTCCACTCCTCAGCGATGTTTCCTTTCAAATATCGCAACTTCATTCTAAAGGGATTTACCATTCACCCTCTGGATATGATCCACTCTACCAGATTTTTCCACCACACACTTGGTTATCAGTCTTATGTTTCTTGTATCTGGCTTTAAATGAACGTATAGTTTCCTGCTTATAGTGATTTTCCAAGCGTAGCTTAGATGTGACACAAGGCCGAAATTAGGGGGCACCCAGTGTGGATCGAACTCACTACTCAGGCGTAATTATTCTAGCGAGCCAAGCTTGCTAACCATTACACCGCCTATATACTTTTCCAAAAGTACAAGCTATGTTATCAAGTCGCTCTTTCGTAAACTCTTCTCTGCTATAGTAAAAAAAAAAATGTTACGGAGAGCCTTTTTCTATGTGCTGTGTCCTTTCAGGATGTAGACGATCATGGCACTCCACATCTTCCTGTCCCTTGTAGCTCTTAATAAGTTTTGTATTTTTGTTATTTCTTCTAACATTCATTTATTCAAGCTCATCAAATATATTACACGCTTCTTTCCTCTGTCCTTTTTTCCCTTAATCTGTCCTGTGTGTATCAGATTTTCCAAGCCATCTTTCCTCATTGCATTCCACAGAAACCTCAACTGCCTCTTCCTAATGTTAAGTATGTTTCCTTTTTGTTTCTATTTTCTCTAAAACTTCATTGTTACTTATATGTTCGGTCCATGGTACTATCAGAATCTTTGTGTAGACCCACATTTCTGTTATGTCAAGTCTCTTTGAAGAGACTGTCCAGCATTCGCTGCTATATATGAGGACAAAGTTTTACAATAAACGTTTTTTAATCTGTTCAAACGTTCCTCTTTTTAATCATTTCACCCCCAAACAAGGCAATAAATCCACTAGGACACAAGAGGTTATTGAGTATGAAAGAATATGAAGAAAAAACATTATTAAAGAGAGGGGACAATAAAAGAACAGTCATTACGAAAACAAAAGATAACGATTGACATTGCATTTAATTTTTGAAGATCAAAATTGACTGGAAAGCAAGAAGCCAGAAGAGAATTCCACAAGTGAGAAGTGCGAAGTGTTAGCATAGAACTTACGGTTACATTTAGATCTAGCTATTTGAAGTGTAAAATGATGAGACATAGCTGCCAATCTAGTACTGCGCTTAAATTCGTTAAGACGATGTACTAAATAGTATAATGATCAGAAGAGAATCGTAATCCGTATAGTAGTAGAGTAGAGAGAGTGAACGTATAGCAATAGTGGATAGACAAGACGAGCGAACAGTAATCATTACGCTATTTCGTATTTATTCACTTCCTTTATGGTCACGTGATCTACTTAATAATGGAATCGCCCGTGTTACTCACTGGAGATCTAGTAAGTGTCGGCAACGACACTTACTCTTATACGACAACTTGAAAGCAAGAAGCCGGAAGAGAGTTCCACGGGAGAGAAGTGTGAGAGAAGAAACTATTAGCATAGAACTTACGGCTACATTTAGCCACTTCATCTGTAAATTAAGAGACCTCGCCACCAATCTAGTACAGCGCTTAAATTCATAATGTCTACGTACCATAGAGCAAAGTGATATTTATTCTGCTATGTACAGAAATGTGGCACAAGGCGAAATGGAGATTGGGAAAAAAAGGACGGTCTTCTTTTGTTTTAACATTAAACTTAGCTAGCCACAAACACTGACTCAAACATACAACAATATTCCTCATTATTCGGACTATTGTCATCATCTTTGTCGCCATATTTATTACAACGTTTCGGCTGTTGTACGCTCCGTCCTTCTTCAGCCAAAACGTTGTAATAAATATGGCGACGAAGATGAGGACAATAGTCCGAATAATGTAAATAGTGTACATAATACCTCATCTCAGAAATATAGACAGATACTGAACAATATTCCTTACACCAAAACAACACATTCTTACCTACCTTTCTTACTACATTCACCATAATACCACATTGTCTCCATGAAAGTCCTAACTAGTCGCCTTATGTACAATTCATTGTCTGTCTCAATAAAGCAA